TTCGTTCGGCAATCTAGTCCGAACTTCTTCAGGGAAATTAATCAAAATTAACATAACAGAGGTTTTTTATATATAAAAGGCACATCTTTTGTTTTTAAAAACTTTGTCCAATCATGATTCATAAAACAAGTATTAACAAATATAATAAACAAAATTTTATGAGCTGTGATCAAAATTTGACCCCGGACTTACAAATATTGGTCTACCTTTGTTAAACACTTTAAACAGAGTGTGCATGCGTGTGTGTGTGAACAGTTGTAAAACATTTCTTAACGTCTCCATAGGAAGATATAGACAGTCAGGAATTTGACCAAGTATTATTAATTAGTGATACATATCCATTTTTATTTATTAATCAGGATTTCCTATGCATCAACTAACATCTCGCCTGCATGTCTGTTCAAACTGCTAGTATCTAAAATTTTATGGTTAGACGTATTTTCAAAATGATGGTGTTTAGGATTAGAGTTTAGTAGAGGCACCCTGTCGAACTTATTGCAATGTCTTCTTTCTGAATATTGAGCTGCTTTATTCGACCTACTGGAGTTGTCAGGTGACTCAACAGCTACGGATTTAGGATGTGCATTTTGTTCCAGACAACGGAGATTGTAAACACGATGATTGTGCCAGTTACACAGTTTCTTTGTTAATTTAATTCGATTGCAAAATAATTCAAATGAACGGTTGTCAAGATTTGACAGAATAGTTCTAAAATATTTGGGCGCCGAGTGAGAAGTAGACCAGATTGCCGAACGAAACGTTGGAATTACTCATTTCAATCTCGCTGAGACTTTACAAATATAACTTTTTACAAATGTCTACTTCTCACTCGGCGCCCAAATATTTTAGAACCATTACAAGGTATTTTTTAAATTATATTATTTTGTCTAATTTAGTCACCCGGGTCCTTTAACCTACAGAGCCTGTCCCTGAGTGAGTTTGTAGGTTTGAATGCAGCCACCCTAATTCCTGCTTTATTGAGAATACTACGCAGCGAGGTTCTCAGATGTCCCCTTCTTATATGGTATACCTGTAGATGCCTTATATTCTCTCTTATTTATGTTATCATTACTGGTTTCACAATTATTTTTATTTTGCTTTTGGCCTTTAGTGATCTTCCTAATGAATTTTATTGGATAGTAATGTGTTACCAACCAGCTATTCTTCTATCTGTTTTATTTCATCATTTAGGTCTTTTCTTGTACCACTTAGCGCTACTACTCGGTTAATATTACTGTATAACAACACTGTGTGATGTATCAAAATCAAATCTTACCCATAATAATAATTATTATTATCGTTTCCTTTAATTCCTAGAGGAACATAGGGCTTCAGCCGTGCGTCTCCATTGCGTTCGCTTCTCTGCTAGACTCTTCACCTGGCTCCAAGTCTGCTCACATGCTTTCATCTCCTCTTCACATGACCTCCTCCAAGTCACCCTCACACTGACGACCAACTCGCCGCTTCCCTTTCGGGTTCCACTCGAGCGATGGCTTGTCTAGTGATGTCACTTGATGGTTTCCTCAGAGTATGGCCAATCCATCTCCATTTCTTCTTACCTATTTGTTTCACAATCGGTTCCTGCTGTGTTGGTTCGCTCATTGCCAGAGATCCCTGTTGCTGATCTTTTCTGGCCACCTGATCTTGAGTATTGAGCGAAGACAACTGTTAATGAAGGTCTGTAGTTTGTTTGAGATGCTCTTTATGACGCGCTGGCCAAGTCTCTGATCCGTATAGTAGCACTGACTTCACATTGGAGTTGAAAATCCGGATGTTATTTTTGATGCTGAGTGCTGTTGACCTCCACACAGACTTGAGAGTAGTGAAAGCTTGTCTTGCTTTTCCGATTCTTGCTTTGATATCCTCGTCAGTTCCGCATATAGTTGAAACGATGCTTCCCAGGTAGGTAAAAGAGGTTGTTTCTTTCAGGTTCCTCCCTTTTATGCCGATTGGGGTCTGTTGTTGTTGCTGTTTGGTGGTGTTGCCCAGGAATCGTCATCACCTCTGTGATGAACTTGAACTGGTGTACTTCTATGCAAAGTTCTGTTTTGAAACTCAGTCAATCATTCAATTAGAGTGGGATATTTTTCAATCGTCAGCAACTCCTGAACATAGTGCTGATTCCTAAGAAATTGATCGGTGCATCAGAATACTTTGTGCGCTAACCTACGCGAGAATTTTCATATACTTATTCCCTTTAATGAATTTGAATAAAGCAAGAACAACAACAGTGTGGTTTTTGCAGAATAAAATGGTACCATCATTGTTTATTTCGTTAGCTTCTCATCAGCTCATCTGCTTACAGCCCAATGGCATTATTAGGTTTATCTGCAGAAACAATTTTAACATACTTGCACAGAGTTCATTTTAAACAAAAACCAATCGATCAGTATATGCATACACCAATAATATAAACATATATATATGTGATATTAAACACTTTTCCGAACGATAATGATCATACACAATGGAAACTTTTCAGGATTTCTCATCCGTATGAAAGGGAGATGAAAATATCCAGTTACCAGGTTGACAAGAAAAGACTGATAACTGCTTCTGTCTGAGCGAATAAATCAGGTTTCAGGTGCTTGATGGAGATCGCTTCGGCAAACTTAAAGAAAACTGAACTCTTTCGCATATTGATAATTTTGGAGGATCTTGCGACGTCCACCTCATAACCCGTGTCAAGGAGATGTCTGGCGACCGCACTCCTTAAAGCATTTGATCCCTTTAGACATAGGCTTTTTGGTACATGTTGAGAAAATCGGATGTATAGCCTTCTTCTTTCTGTTCTTCCAATGTAACTGCTCCCTCAGATACATGTAAATACATGTATATACAGTCGGAGTTAACATGAGAAGGATATCTATCGATTTTTAATTGCACCAAGGAAGAGCAAGTTGTTCGAAAGACGGGGACGAGCTTAGCTGCAGGATAGGCTCTGGCTAGTGACGTCCTCAATCTTCTGTTGACAATTGATGTGATTTTTTCACTTTTATAATCAAGCTGAATGTAGACGGGCTTTCTTCCCACTGTGATGATTTGCTTGGTATTTGACCCTTCAGATCTTCCGTACTTGTCAATGAACCTTTCAGCGTAACTGTTGTTTTTCAACGTCTTTTCGAGGAACACAAATGCCATGATAACTGGATGGTTTCATCCTCTCTTTCGCCTGATTACTTAACGTCAAAAGATTACATCATGTATGATTATTACTATTGTTTGGGCTAAAGTGAACATAATTACTATTATTAAAATTGTATGCATATTATTAATCGATTGATTTTTGTTAAAAATGTACTCTGTGCAAGTATTTTTAAATTTTTTCTGTAGATATACTGAATAATGACTTTGGCCTGTAACCAGCTAAGCTGATGCGAAGCGTAAAAAGGAAAGCAGATGGGAAGTTAAACACTAGTGTGTGTTTACAGAAAACCCGCACATTCAAATAGATATTTGGACTTCAGATCATCCCATCTTATGTCATTAAAAATGGGATTAGTGAAATGTTTAAGTAATAGAGCACAAAAACTAAGTAGTACCAAGGGAAATCTAAGACAGGTAGTAAGGCATATAAGAGCAGAAGCTTTGAAACTTAATAATTACCCTGATAAATAATTAATCAGGAAGTATGTAGGGAAATGTAAAAGTAAAAATAAACTAAATAATGATAATAGTGATAATGATAGTAATAATAATAATAGTGATATTAATAACGACATGCATGTCAAACATGAGCAAGATAATGACAACACATACAAAGAAGGAACCTCGGAAACCACCTTACGGAGAATTCCTAACAATCCTGGCAGCAATTAAAGTGGCTGGGATTCAAACCACCCACAAACTCAATTACAAACAATCCTTGTCGGTTACAGGATCAATCCTGTGGAGCCAATAAAACAAAACAATTTAGTTTATCTAATGCCCTGCCTCCAATAATTGTCAGGTCAAGTACATAGGTCAGAGTAGTAGAACGGGATCAGTCAGACAAGTGCAGCAGTGCTAGAACCTAGCGAAATCTAGATTAGTTGACCCGAATAAGAAAAGAAATCTGGAAAATAGTTCAGCTATCTCAAGCACTACATGCACTTACACACGACCACACAATAGGATGTGCGTCGGTGGTATGGTCGTTAAGACGCTCGCCGACCATGCACATGGTCCGAGGTTCGATCCCCTGCCGACGCATTCCATTATCTCGCTAAGCCAGAAAAAATGCCGGTGAATAGGAAAGGTTGGGCATGAGGCTAGCAACCCCATCCTGTAAAATAACCGCTGCTACAGGAACTTCAAGCCACTAGCTTGAAGCCTTATGTTCCACTGGGGGAACGTGAAGAAAAAAAGCACAATAGGATGGGATAAGATTACGGTTTTAAAATCTAATGTAACAGGGTGAATGGAAGGAGAGATTGATAAGAGAAGCTTTATTTTTCGAATCAAATGAAGAGAACACGTGTCACAGGAGTGATTCAACACCTATCCAGTCGGACATCTGGAAAATTCTACTACCCGAACGACGACAAATAGGAGATTACAAAGAAAACTATAAAACTGAAGTTTCGAAGTCATGTGGTTATGATTGATATGATTATGAACAATAAATTTTGTTCGAAACGTCAATATACAATAAATAGTATTGTTTCTCTGTGTGATGCATCTAATAAACAAGCTAATATGAAATCTGCAAAAACTGTTGTTGTTGCAACGCAAGAACATCAGAAGACCGATTGGCAATACGAGGATTGTTTGTTTCTTCACCGATAATGAACCAGACCAACAGGCTTTTTTCTTCTGCAGTCCTCTACCAACTGCCTGTCATTTTTGTTGTTTCCCGCCAAATGGAGATCCATTCGAATAAACAAACCATATGTTGCTTATTCAATGTTCAACAACATTGAAAAAAATGTTGATATTTGAATTTTAAATGTGCGTTTTAAACTTGACTAATATCTTCTTTATTTTCTTTTCTCTATCTATCTATGCATTCATGATATTAGATATCTGAGTTACCAACACCTTCTTTTATGTTGAAAAAGCTACGTGATTTAAATCTTGGTACAATGAAAAATGTTTGTATTGTTCAACAGAACTGTCCAGTGCATAAAGCGCTACAGCATTTTATTGATCGTGGAGTTTCAGCACTGCCTGTGGTCGACCAAGATGGACAACTTGTGGATATCTATGCAAAATTTGATGTCATAGTAAGTGTGTTGGCACAGTTTTTTGTTGTTGTTGTCGGTGGTGGTGATGGTGTTGTGTGGTTGCCTTCGTATTTACCTCTTTGTAGATTTTGTGTTTTTACTTTTTTCGGTTCATTACTTTGTCTAACTGACTGGTTTCAATGTGGAACTACACTTTGCACAGATATGCAGCAGTTCAAGTCGTCACACTTCACTTAGCACTCAAAGCCAGAGGAAATAGTAAAAAGAAATGCAAAACAGAGAGAGTAAACAGAGATATGAGGCAAAAAGAACAGTAATATCGAAGAACAATATAGTTTTATTGGATATTATAAGTTACAATGAGTGGATACATCTGCGCCAGCCATTGAGAATGATTTGGAGCCAGCCATATCATCAATTGTCTCCAGCCTTCATTGGTTTTTACTGTCCCGAGGACCCCAACCAGCCAGTCAGGAAATCTACACTTTCCTACGTGGCTGGCTGACTTAAACTAACTGTTGTGGATTTCATTGAGCGATGAAGCTGTGTTTTGGTTTGATCACCACTGGCTCCAACCTTATCTATCCTATGTCAGCTAAATAAACTCGAAATCATGCACAACTGGGCAAAGTAGTTCTACGTTGAAACCAGTCAGTCAGTCATTCGGTGAGTTGAAATACAACTATCACTCACTGAAATCTACACCGCTATACTGGTCCAGGAGACTGGATAGAGAAAGCTGAGGGGTTGCTTAACCTATGCTATGACATAGCGCAATGGGATGAAGGATATTTTATGTTCATTTAGAATCTGTTGGTATATCACGACTCGCTAAACGGGATCCGAGGAATAATTGGAATAAATGGCTTGAGATGTCCATGTGATATGGCGAAGAATCGTAATCAATGGAGAACATACTGCCATATCCTCCATTCTTCTTCTTCTTGTTCCCTTTCTGAAGGTAATATGAAGTAAATGACTCGTGTTCCAAAATAATCTTCACGATGTATGCTTACTCGCCTTCTGGATGACCTCCCCAATTTATTCTGTTTCTTATTTTATTTGAATATTGTTATCTTTGTTATTTGTTAGTGTAGAAAAAATATTCATTCAGACATCTATAAAACACAAAATAATCGAGCAAAGAATATTCTTTTCGATAAATTAAGGATAATAAGGAACAGTATAGACAAATCGATGGGGTGGCGATGGGGTCACCACTAAGACCCACTCTAGCCGACATTTTCCTTGCGAAATTAGAAAATGGGCCTTTGAAAGATGTTATTAATGAACTCGAATTTTAATGTCGGTACATGGATGATACGTTTTTGATTATGAAGAACGAAAAGGAAGCAAAAAACATCCTGGATAAATTTAATGAGGTACATTCTGCAATAAATTTGACTATTGAGAAAGAAAAAGACTCTAGTATTTCATTTCTAGACATCCTTATGACCAGAAAAGAGGACGGCACAATAAGAAGAAGTGTTTATAGACAACCTACATCAACGGGTCAGTACACACATTTTCTCAGCTTTGTGCCCTTGAAATACAAACGCAATCTAATAAAGTGCTTGGTCCACAGAGCAAGAGAGATTTGCTCGGACGAATGTCTTGACGAGGAACTTAACAATATTAAACGGTTGCTAAGTGAGAATGGTTATCCTGAAAAGTTTATTGATAAGAATATGAATACAAAACCAAAACAATCCAAGGTACCAACAGTTCCAAAGAAAGCCTTGTTCTTACAGATGCAGTTCCTAGGAGACAACACCAGTGAAATGCAAACACAGCGCCTAAGAAATGTGGTAAAAAGAACATTCCCTGCTGCTGAATTACGCTGTATCTTTAAAACCACTCCTCTTCTGCGTTCGGGAATAAAAGATAAACTGCCTAATTTTGCCTCTTCCATGTGTATATACCGATTTAACTGCTCCTGTGGAGCCAGTTACATAGGCCGTACAATTAGGCTTGTTTCGCGTCGAATTTCTGAACATCACCCTTCACAGTGGTTAAGTAAAGGACAAACAAAATCTATTCGCAGAGCTATTCTGTCTCATCTTGTGGAAACAGAACACAAGATTAACGTTAATCATGCTTTCAGGGTCATTTACCGCATACCTACGAATTTCAATTTTGCTTTAAGAGTTCGACTACTAAATATTACTGAGGCTGTGGGGATCCATATTAACAAGCCTAATTTGTGTATCCAAAAGAAGTTAGTTCAGGCATTGTCCTTACCTTGACCATCAAGGTTTGAATAATCCAGAATTTTCGTAAAATTTCCCTAATTTTAGTTGATATTCTATTCGCTATTATATCTATATTATTATTATTATTATTTAAGCATCTTTAATGAACTGTAATTGCATGGTGATCTTACTTAACAAATCGATATTATTTAAAAAAAACGCTAATATTGTTACTAACTACTAATTTAAAATATTCTGTGTATATAAACATATATATGTGTGATTTTAGAGCCCGAAGAGGAATTTATCGAAAAGAATATTCTTTGCTCGATTATTTTGTGTTTTATATTTGTTAGTGTAGCGCATCTCTCTTGGTGCGCTTTAATCCTGAACAGTATGTTGTATGATTTACAGAATCTTCAATGGAGTTTATTGCATAATGTCTCCTGTTACTCCAGGATCTTCAAAAAAAAATTTAACTGACAGTATTCCGTGTGTGACACATTTCTATCTGATCTGAAGCGCACATCAGCCTATCATGATGACATCTCTTCTTTGTCTCCTACGAAAAATACACAGTGACATTTTGTTGGGTACGTCAATTCGAAAAGGTTCAGGAGTATATTTTGTGAAGAAGGGGGACACCACTGAGGAACGGTCATCTCACGTATTGGTATAAGCTGCCATCATCCATCAAAGATAAGGTTTCTTCTCATGCTTAGCAGAAACTGATGAATAAGGAGGTTGTGAATGTTTTAAATACTCGCAAAAATAAACAATACTAGTAGAGGTCATATTTTAATAGATTTAAACAAACTAAATAGGGGAAATTATATGCAAACTAGTGCGTCGGTGGCATAGCGGTAAGGATGCTCGTCGACCATGCACATGGTCTGGGGTTCGATCCCCGGCCGGCGCACTTCTTTACCTCACTAAGCCAGAATTAAAAGCTGGTGAAGAGGAAAGGTTGGGCATGAGACTAGCAACCGCATCCTGTAAAAATTAAACACTGCTACAGAAACTTCAAGCTAGATGCTTGAAGCCCTATGTTCCACTGGGAACGTGAAGGAATAAAACAACTGTGGTGGTAGAGTATAACTCCATTGTCGATAAGATTTTATTTCGATAAATCATACAGTGTTCGTTGTACAGTAATATTAACTGATGACCACGTTTCGAGCACAAATAATTCCCGCTCATAATCATATCAAGTTACTCACACAACTTTTTTCCTTCATTTATATACATGTGTGGAATCCATTAGATATTGGAATAAAAATCAATATAGGATAATGTACAATGGGAAATAATAATATTAGTGTTATCATTCAGATACAATCAGATGGAAAATAAGACGAGTGCTATTATAGTCATTTCTGAATGTACATTATCTCATGTTGATTTTTATTCCAATATCTAATCGATTCCACACATGTATATAAATGAAGGAAAAAAGTTGTGTGAGCAACTTGATATGATTATGATCGGCAATAATTTGTGCTCGAAACGCGGTCATCAGTTAATATTACTGTACAACGAACACTGTATGATTTATCGAAATAAAATCTTATCTATAATGGAGTTATACATTTTGATGAACCAAGGACACCGCTGAGGAACGGTCATTTCATGTCATCTCATGGATAAACTGCCATCATCCATCGAGGGTAATGCTTCTTCTCACGTGTTTAGTAGAAACTGGCAAATCAGTAAATTGTGAATGTTTTCGATACTCGTCAGAGTAAACAATACTGTATTAGGGGTCATAGTTTCAACTAAGTTTAAACAAACTGATTACTAGAAATTATGTGCAAACCATATTGATGGAGGTTGTTTTCGGCAGCCCAAGTTTTAAGCAGACTGCCGTAGCAACACCATTATTAGTTTGTTTATTAGATGTATCACACAGTGGAACAGTATTACTGTGTACTGGATGACGTTTAGAACAAAATTTATTCATTGTTCATAATCACATCAATTGTAATCACACGACTTTGAAACTTGAGTTTTATAGTTTCCTTTGTTCCCTCCTGTTTATCGTCGTTGGGGTAGTAGAATTTTCCAGATGTCCTGCTAGACAGGTGTTGAATCATTCCTATTACACGTGCTTGCAGTTGATTCGATAAACAAAGCTTCTGTTATCAATCTCTCCCTCCATTCACCCTGTTACATTAATAATAATAATAATAATTTGTATGTCATGTAAACGGGTAAGTTTACAAGAAATGGATGACATTTTTACGGGCACGATCAGTTATGTTATAAATTACAATCCTGAAGTATCATAAATTAATACTTTTACAAAAGTTTAAATTGTTCAATTATTGCTCAAGCAATTAGAACAGGTTCTTATTAATGTTAAATTGTAAACCGTTTACTAAGGTCACAATCAAAGTTGAGCGACAACCCAAACTTCCTTCCGTTTCCTGATGATAGTTACGGTCAATCAGTGAATCGCGTATATTTGGGTAAGTGCTATACCGCCACTTGTTTGAAAGCTATTTCAAGAAGAGTAGAAAATTCTGCGCGGCTGCGAAATGGTTTAAAATGCCATTATGAATAATACATTATTGGAAGTATATTTACAGGATAAATACAAGGAGAAGAAGAAGCTATATAGTACTTGAAATGATAGTTTACATTTGCAATGTTTAAAGCTAACCATACTGGTCTAAGCATAGAAACTATCACGTTTTCGATGAAAATAAAGCTTTGTTCAAACATTGGTATTGTTGTGTTTTTATTCAAAGCAACCAAACTTAAAGCAAGAAACAAATATGAATAAAGAGCAAGTTTCAGCTTCAATAAAGGCCTGCGTAGTTCACATCAAATCGAGTATAACAGTGCGTAAATAAAAAGATTTTAAAACTGTCATCCTACCCCATCCATCCTAATTTATGGTTGTTTGTGTGTAATTGCATGTAGTGAGAGCTAAAGCTGCTGAACTAATCTCTAGATTTTTTATCTTAATCGGGTCAACTAATCTAGATTTTCCTGCTAGTTTGTTATGCTCGGCTAGTCTGACTGACTGCCCCTGTTCTACTACTTTGACCTATGTATTTGACCTGACAATCATTGCAGGCAGGGTATTAGATAAACTAAACTGTTTTGTTTAATTGGCTCTACAGGATTGATTCCGTAACCGGCAAGGACTGTTTCTAATTCAGTTTGTGAGTAGTTTAAATACCAGCCACTTTTATTCTTGCTAGCATTGTTAAGAATTCTGCGTGAGGTTTCCGAGGATCCTTCCATGTATGGAATTACTCCTGATGATTTAGATTCCTTATTGTTGGTGTTATCATTATCTTGTGCATGTTTGACATACATGTCGTCATTAATATTACTATTATTATTACAATTACTATTATTATTAATTTTATTTTTACATTTCCCTACATACTTTGTGACTAATTTATCAGGGTAATTATTAATTAAGTTTCAAAGCTTCTCTTATATGCCTCACCTCCTGTCTAAGATTTTTCTCGGTACTACTTTGTTTTTGTACTCTGTCACTTAAACATTTCACCAATCCTATTTTCACTGACACATATTAATATGCTATAAATAATACATTAATATGCTCTTAAAATGTTTTCACACAGAATTAACAGCATAACGTTCATATCTCCTTCGCAATCCTTATTCATACTTATGTTTTTTTCTCTTTATACTTTTAGAATTTGGCAGCTACAAGGACATATCAAAATTTAGACATTACCGTATATGAGGCTTTAAATTATCGACGTGGAGTAAGTCACTTAACAGATTGATTTTTATTTTGTTTTTGTTTGTATCCTCTTTGCTGTGCAAATATTTACCCGTTTACATCAACTGGAGACAGTCGGTAATATGGCTCAAAATCTTTGTTCTCAGTGATGTCTGGTGTGGATGCATTTACTCCTTGTGATTGAAAAAATATCCAATAAAACTCTTCTTTTTCCCTCACTCCTTTTAAACTCTCTTTACTCTCTTCTCTTGGGTTATGTGGTATATGGCTGGTGAGAGCTGGAACTGTTGCACTTCCGTACTAATTGATTTAACCCTAACTCCCTTTAGAGACTCAGGGATTGACTTGCTACCGAGGAATAATAGCCTCGTTGACTTAGAATAGGCAGATGATGTAGTCCTTCTAGGCGAGGACGCTGACGAAATGCAGATTCTTCTGAGCACTTTGAAGAGCAGCAATTGTCGAATGTGTGGCATCCGATTCGCTCCCGCCAAATGTAAGATGATGTTACATGATTGGACTGGACTACATTGATTTCTAGATTAGAAATAGGGAGTGAAGTGGTAGAGCACGTTGACCGCTTCACTTATTTGGGAAGTTGCATCAGCCAGCCCCAACGAGTTTATCTCTGACGAAATCTCAGTACGGATACAGAGAGCCAGTTTACGCCGTCTCTGGCGTAGACGTGATATCCGGCTGGCTACCTATCGACCAAAGGGCGTGTGCACTGGTCATCAGTCCGCTCCATCTTCCTTTATGGCTGTGAGACCTGGCCACTGAGAGTGGAAGACATGAAAATATTAGCTGTCTTTGATCATAGGTGAAGTGGTATAATAAGGTGAGCAACATTGAGGTTAGGCGTTGAGTGCTAGTTAAAGAGGGGAAATCAATCGACGAGCCTGTGAAGTTACACCGACTGAGATGGTTAGGACATGTGTTACTCATGGTAGCCTAGTCATCGCCTTCCTTGACGGGCAATGTTAACTGACATGGAATGGATCTGTTTGGAAAAGTGCCAGCAGTGGTCAAAACAAGACATAACTTCATCGGTCAATGAAATCCACAACAGTTAGTTTAAGCCAGCCACGTAAGTAGGTGTAGACTTCCTGACTGACTTGGTTGGGGTTCTCGGGATGGTGAAAACCAATGAAATCTGGAGATGATTAGTGAAATGGCTGGCTCAAAATTGTTTTCAATAGCTGCCGCAGATGCATCCACTCCTTGTGACGTAAGATTTCCGATAAAACTATGTTGTTCTTCGATATTACTGTTCTTTTTGCCTCCTATCTCTCTGTTTACTATCTCTATTTGTGCTTCTTTGTACTTTCTTCTCTTGCTTTGTGTGCTACATGGAGTGGAGTGTGGTGACTTGAACTGCTGCACACCGGTGCAAAGTAGTTCTATGTCAAAAACAGACAGACAGAAACTTCTATATTGAAACCATTCAGTCAGGCAGTCAGTGAGCAAGCCAATACTGGTTGATGATATTAAGTGTTTTTCAACTACTCATATAAATTATTAAGTAGTAAGTATATTCATCTTTATTTATACTCTATTTACGCGCAGTGTTACAATTATATGAATTCTCTGTTCCCTGTAACATGTATGCATTTTCTACACTCCGTATATCGTTTTACAGTGTTAATCAATATAGCTGAGTATTTATTTCTCTCGTTTAAGTGTTAATAATAATTGCTACAAAAACAGAGTCAAATTTCATGAAATTTATACACCTCCGTCTCTCCCATAACCCCCCCCCCCCCACACACACACGTTCCCCGCACCACCCAGCATTCATCCTTTTACTATCAAAACCAAATATGTGAAACTATCCGAGTTTTTCTGCGTACATTTTGTTTCTCAAATTGCTTTCTCTCATTCTCTCTTTCGTTGTGGAGTGTGTATGTTTGTATTTCATGTCTATATGTACATGTATCCGACATTGTTTGGCTAACTGTCTATTTTGAAAGTTGAGTAATGTGAGTATCTTTCGTGTGCATGGAAAGTGATATAGAGTAAAAACTCAACGGAGACTATAGTCTTCATTTTCGCCTATTGATTCCTTCATCGGTATTTCGGCTGAGCTATAATTTTAAGTTTCTATGTACAGAGTAGGTAGTAGTGTAACAACAGAAGACAAGGGCCATACAACAAATCGTCTATTGAGAAAGTCAAGAGATATTTTTATAGATTCTTATTTACACTATTGTCACTAAAGAAACGACGTCATCTGTTTGATTGTTATCTTGCTGAAGGTAATTCTGTACTGCTTGTGACCGTTTCTCAGAAAGTTAAGCCATATATCTGCGAATCGTATTTACACACGTTAAGTCTGCTGTGATTGGTTGGTGAGTTCCTCAAGGTTAAACTTTGTTATCGTAGTTTTTCTCATGATCCCGATTCAGGACCTAACATTGACGTAAATTCTTATATGCAATTTTTGGCTTGCAGCTAGCTCTCACCACAGTAGTACTGTGCTTTGTGCTACTGATAAGGTTTATTAGTAGTATATATATAGAAACAGATTCATAGGAAGTGGCTAAAATTGTAAACAATATTTTAACTCAACGGATGGCTACAGAAGTAGGGAATGTTTATTCCTCAAATGTGGATTTTTAGCTTACGTTGTGGTCAGGAATTAATCTCATTGGATAACTTTTCGTCTTCAGAATATCAACTGTAACGACAGAAGGCAAGAGTCAGGCAACAGATCATTTATTAAGGAAATCAACGCATATTTATATATTTTCATGTACATTACTATGAATATTTAAGTAAACAAACACAGTCTTCCGATTGTTTGTTTCTCACGTAAAGTTAATCTTTCATCTATTTGTGACTGTTTCTTGAATGTCAAATCCTCTATATGTTAACTGTATCCGCCTACGCAAAGTCTGCTGTGGTCGGTTTTGAATCAATCTTTGTTCACATTTTCTCACGACAAATCTTGAGAACGTAAATATTGACGTAAATTTCTGTCTACCAATTTGGCTAGTAGACAGCTCTCACCACATTGCCAGTCATAGTCATATCAAGTTACTCACTCACACAACTTGCTTCCTTCATTTAAATACATGAGTGAAAATTGATGATTAGACATTTGATTAAAAATCAATATGGGATGATGTACATTCAGAAATAATAATATGAGTGTTATCAATCAAATACAATCAGATGGGAAATAAGACGAGTGTTTTCATGGTCAAAATAAATAAGTAACTTGTTAGAATGTTATGATGTACGTGAATTGAAATAGAATTTTGAGATTATTTATTATCCTCCTCTGATTTGACTGACTGGTGATAATAATATCTTCGATGCATATCTCTGGTATTTGCATTGAGTCATTTCTGTTGCATGTGTTGGGTGTAGGTAGGCTCGATGAACCAGGCAGGATTCAGTAATCAACCTCTCTCTTTCTCCACCCACTTATATTACTTTTAAGAATTTTGACTCTGTCTCACCCTGTTGTGTGTTAATGCATGCAGTGCAATTGCTGAGCTCTCTTCGAAATTACTTATCTTCGCAAGTTTTAAAGGCTCCACAGGACCAAGCGTGTTTCTAATTGAGTTCGTGGGTGAAATATTTCCCCAATAGACCACAAAAACTAAATAATATCAAGGAAAATCTAAGACAGGAAGTGAGGCATATAAAAGGAGAAGCTTTGAAACTTAATAATTACCCGGATAAATTAGTCAGAAAGTATGTAGGGAAATGTAAAGATAAAATAAATAATGATAGCAGTGATAATGATAGTAATAATAATAGTAATGACGACATGCTTGTCAAACATGCACAGGATAATGACAGCACGAACAATAAGGAATCCAAATCATCAGTAGTAATTCCATACAAAAAAGGAACCTCGGAAAGCACCTTACGCAGAATTCTTAACAATGCTGGCAGGAATAAAAGTGGCTGGCATTCAGACCACCCACAAACTCAATTAGAAACAAGCTTTATCGGTTAAAGTATCAATCCTGTGTAGCCAATAAACCAAAATAATTTAGTTTATCTAATACCCTGTCTGCTGGAATAATTGTCAGGTCAAAGAAGTAGAACAGGGGCAGGCATTCAGACTAGCCGAGCAACACAAATACCTAGCAGCAAAATCTAGACTGGTTGACCCGAACAAGATAAGAAGTCTAGAGAATAGTTCACCTATCTCTATCAATGCATGCAATTTGCAATTAATAGTGTTCTCTGGGCTAGTTGGTTTGGTTGCGGAGCTTTCGTCGTCCTTCTGGACAGCATCCCCCTTCAGCGCATGTTTTAGCATAAAGTGAAATGATTTAAATTTCTTCGTGAGTGATAGAATTACGTCTCCCGGTAACCGTCTTTACATATGTGTATTGATCATTTTCTATTGAATTGGATTTTAAACTTTCTAGTAACCTGATTTACTTTTTATTAGTTGGTATATTTGGTCTTTGTTAACGTGTTTGTTAATTGCATTTTCGTTTGAGTACCAAGCAGGCTTCTAGGAATTCCCAGGCACTTTTGGTGTTTCCTCTGTCTAAGATTTTGACATTATCCCAATCAAATTGATGACCATAATTGTCTATATGCATTGATACTAAAGAATATATATCGCGTCTTTTCACGGCTGATTTGTGTTCTTGGATTCTAATTCGTAGGGGGCACACAATTTTGGCGGATGTAATGCCTGTTACAGCTCATACAATTTCTTTTGTAAATGGTTTTAATTTTATCCCCTTTTTCTGTTGGATCTTTCGGTTTGCATAATATCGAATTAAGCGATTTGACTGGCTTGTGTGCTATATCTATATCAAACGGTTTCAGTATTCTAGCTATTATTTCAGAAATATTTCTCATGTATGGTAGGATGAATTTTCTTGTGGTCTTTGATGATGGTTTCTTGTTGATGTTTTGATTCAACTTTAAACACTTTTTGATGAAATTTTGTGGATAACCATTCTTTTTGAAGACCGTTTGTAGGTATCTTTCTTCCAATCTTTTCAACTCTTGAGTGCTACAATGTGTTTGAACTCTTTTAAACAA